ACCAATGTCTTTTAAGAATTGGGAAGATACTGAGGTACATCTGAAGCAAGGGACTGAGAGAAAGTATAGATAAATATCAAGTCTGACGGGAAAGCATAGACTCTCTAGTCACATTTGACTGGTCAGAAAAGAAACTCTTGATTTCTGCACCATTGTGCTTCTGGATATCACCACAGTTTTCCAAGGAAAATGACAAGTGTTGAGGATATGAGGAAACCAAAGCCCTCATTAATTGTTGATGGGAATGTAAAATGTGCAGCAACTGTGGGAAACAATTTGATGGCTCATCAAAAGGCTAAACAAGGTATTACACTGTGATCCAGTAATTCAACTGTTAGATATATGCTCAAAGGCTTAAAGGCAGGGACTCACACAGATATCTGCACCAGTGCTCACTGCAGCATTTTTTACAACAATGAAAAGAAAAGAATTAGTACATGCTACAACACAACGAACCATGAAACATTATACTAAATTAAATGATTTGAACATTGGAAGATAATGTTACATGATTCTACTAATATTAAATGTCTAGGATAGGCAAATACAGAGACTAGAGTATATCATGGTTAGAAAAAGGTGAAACGAAGTACTTAGAAGTACTCTGTTTTTCTTAAAGGTAATGTAGTAATTTGGAACCAGATATTGGAGATATTTGTACAACATATTGAATGCAATTTTGTCACTGAACTGTACTCTTAAAAGATTAAAATGGAAAATGTTTTGAGATTATAAATACAATAAAATCAATATTTAAAACGATACAAATAATTGTGTGATCCAGTCTCTGGAGAAGGATGACTGGGATGGGGTCAGGTGTGTCAGAGATGGTGAGGTTGGCAAATGATGGTGCAAATTTCAAAGCTATTGTTCACAGGGTTGGTATAAATCATAGTCAACTCAGGCCACATAACTACAACCATTTCTCTCTCCATCACAAGTTAAAAAAATAAAAAGAAGTAGGTTAGTCCTAGATCCCAGAGACTGTTCACATCGACATAGGTTGAAGGATGTTGTGTGTAGTGAACCTAAGACAAAGCACTCAGAGTTTGTAAAGCACATGTTTTCTTTTTTAATTACCAAAAGATTGATCTAATATTATCTTACAATTATACAATAATGGAGAAGTAAAAGAAAAGGTCCATCATCTTACTCATTATATAATCAGAAGGATGAAGATGACATAAATTAAGAAAATCACTCGATAAAAAGACTGATAAATCAATTATAAAATAGGCAAGAGACATGGAAGGAATTTTCACAGAGGAAGAGATTAGAATGGCAAACAGACACATGAAGAAATGTTTCAAATTGGGGGCAGCTCAGGGCTGGGGATGGCGGTGGCCATGGCTGTGGTGGCTCCGGGACATGAGAAAGAAGCCTGGGGAGTTCCATGAGATGGGCCGGCTCCCAGGCCAGTTGGGTGGAGAAAAAGATATATAGAATGAGTGAATGAATATAAGGATCCAAAAGGGGTGGGAGATGGTGGAAGCAGAGGGCTGAGGATGTGCAGGGGGAGGCAGGGATTAATCGTGGGATTGTACAATTTGATGGGTGGAGGGATGAGGAAAATTGAAAGAATTTGTTCTTGAAAACAATGTATTTGAATTTTGTAAATAAGCTAGCAGAAAATAAAAAAAAGAGAAGAAATCACTCAAATAGGTAAAAATAAAATATGCTCCAAAGTGACATCTGTTTGACCTAAGCATCAGTCTGGAATCTCCAAGCTCAAGACTCTGAGCGCTACACCACACTGTTTGTTCCCTGACCTCTGCACAGGTTCTTGAGGGAGATTTCTTCCATGCTCCTCCACCTCTACATCGTCCTGCAGCACCCTCTGTAGGACAATCTTGAGGGTCAGCTGCCGCTGCCACAGCCTCTGCCTAAAGGAACCCACAAAGAAGTAGATAATGGGGTTGGCACTACTGTTAATACAGAGGAGAAGCAGAGCCCAGTGCAAAGGTAACATCGGAAAAGGAATTGTAATCCAGAGTGGTAAGAACTCATAAATGCTGACGGGCAGGGTCCAGAGGAGGAAGATCAACACTGTAAGCAGGATGGATGCATAGAACCTGGTCAACTTCTTCCTGTGGAAACCACAGAACATCTTCATCAGCAAAATTATGTTAAACACAAACAGAATCACAAGTAACAAAAGCACCCATGCAGAAAGAAAAATTTGAAATCCAGCACAGTGATCATCGCTGAGGTTATGAAACAGCAAGCCACATAGTTTTCCTTCCAGAATGTTCAGTAGCAGGGACAGAATCCAGAGCAGGGCACAGATGACAGCTGATGTGTGTCTTGGGCGTAGGCACCGGTACCAGCTGGGAAACAGGACAGACAGGCAGCGTTCAGTGCTTATGCAGCTGAGAATGCTCAGATGTGAGAGGTAGGCAAAGGTCCATACAATGCTGAAGTATTGAGAGATGTGTTGGAAGGAGTCAATAAATTCCTCTAGGAAAAAGAAGATCTCCACTAGGAGAATGATGACGTCTGCCCCTGCCAGGTTGAGAATGTAGATGGAGAAGGAGTTCCTTTTCAGGCGGAAGCCCAGGATCCACAGCACTCCTGCATTTCCCAACAGGCCAACCAGGGCAATGATGAAGGTCAGAATCCTGACCTGTGTCCATGTTTTATAACCTTCGGGAAGAATTGGGTAATTTTCATCCATTGTTGTAGATTCAGTTCCCCATGATGGGATGATTGAATTCATGCTTGGAAACTCTCCGCTGGTGTCTCTGGAAACACAAACAAGACTTAATGTTGGCTATAATATCGTTGACGCTCATGATCAACTTGCTAAATGGAGATCATCGTCTTAAAGGAAAGGGAGAGAGTGACTTGTAGTGATTACTTTATAAACCCTAAGGAGTTCTGGAATCAGGAGTCAAGACCAGTGTTTTGCTGAGATTTTAGTCCAGTGTCTGTCTGTCCTCTACTTGCTACAGACAATTTTGTGAGTTAGAGGGAGCTCTGATTATCCAGTCCCCCTGGCATTGTGCTGCTAACCCCAAAGCAAAACCTCTGGTGGCTTGCACCCACTAGCAGCTCTTCAGGAGAAAGATTTGCACGATTTACATCCTATGGGGGTTCAGGTATGAATTGATTCCCATAGATGGCAATGAATCAAGGGTTTTTTTTTTTTAGTGTCTTGTGACTGTAGGAGTCCTGGTAGCATCACATTTTAAGTATTGGGCTGGTAACTGAAAGATCTGGATAGCCAGGCCTGGAGGTAGAAAGATGGGAAGTCTCCTAAAGATTTACAACTTTGGAGGACATGAAAGGTTGCTTTGACTTACTATTCAATTACAGCAGTGGCTTGATAATTTTTTTTTAAATTTTGTTATGGGGGACGTCTGATAGATTTGTAGTTGATAAATTTGGCTGCTAACAAAAAGGGCATCTTTTGAGCCCAACAGAGAGATACTCTGAGGGAGTAAGATGAGACAATCTGCTTCTCTATGTTCTACTCTGTCCTACAAGTTTATATAAGACTGTGGATAGATGAGTCTGACCTCCACTGACTCTACAAGGTGGAACTGTCCCTATCAACAACATCTACAATACGACACTAATTTCATAAGGTCAGATGTGAACCCCATTGCCCTGAATCCACTTTTGCAATTCTAGTATCGGTCATATGAATCTACTACTGGGTTGGCTATTCATTGCATTGACCACATAGATCTCATAGAACCATACTCATGGTTATGGTGTTTATTAAGGAGGTTAAGAGGTTATGATTCAAGTTGGCAAAAGGATACAATTCCTCAGTCAGGACAGCTTCTCAAGTGTGTTTGTAAGCTTTTGACCCTCAGCATCACAGCTTAGGTCAGTGTTACAAAGCTCTTGTAGTCCTGTCACTTATGATACTCCTCTTCCCCCCACTTGAACCTCTCCTCTGAGTCCTCCAATAAGTTTGGGTGAAGGTCCGTAGCTCTGGCTTTGTGAGGCAGCAGTCCTAATCTGCTCTGTCTAGTGTTGGTCTCTATTTCTTCACTGTGGCTGCTGGTGTGCTTGTGTAGGTGTTGGTTTTACTTGTGTGGGAATCTCTGACTTCAAAGGATGTTGGATGTATTCTCTGTTTCTTCTTCCTTGTTAGTAGTGAGAGTCTAACCTTTACTATTAAATCTGCTCCATTTAAAGCTAGTGGGTGGCAAAATGGAACAATTCCATCATAAATAATTTAGACACAACTCAATTCATGTTTCCACCCAGTCATATGGTGAGAGCTAAAGATGATGACTAGGACAGGGCATTTTGAACAAGAAACCCACTACACCAGGGACCACCACCTGCATTTCTAGCCATTATTCTTCATTCTTGAAGAATTAACTTTTCCTCTTATAATGATCTTACTAAGCTAGATTCATGAATATAATGTAAGTAATATGTGTAAGCAAAATGTGTATAAGCCAGCTACTTCATACCTCATGACTTTATCTCATTCATTTTGAATAGCCAACTTCTAATTTGTCCATTACCATAGACCCAGTTCTTTAAGAAAACAAGTCCCTTTGTCTGAAGAATCTTCTGTTTGGTTGGAACTTTGAACATCTGTATCTATATGCAAAGTCCAGTCCAAAACAAGCCATCAAAGTTCAGCAATTTACTCTAACTTACAGCATGGCATCTTCTCTTCATCTGGTTGATTTCAAGTCAACTCATCCCTAGTTATTGGTAGATAGGTCCAAAGGACACCCATGGCTAACACAGGGGGCCACATATCTTTCTGAACTTCAGACTGGTTGATCCCTTTACTCTCAGACTTAACCTCTCATATGGGCTAAGTCAACAACTTTCAAGGTCTTAGGACTCCCTGTTCCTCAGACCAACAATCCTTTACTTATCCATGGTAGGTCAACAGTGTCAATGGAACATATCCAAATTCAGCCTGTCTCTTCATTGCTGCATGCCTCTCACTTCCACTCACCAGTTGAAGTCAAGTGTAGCATGTATGAGCGTACTCTCCAGTTTCCTTTAATTTCAAGACCTAGAAGGGGGCTTTGATGAGCACCTTTTATCTTTGCCTCTCAGGAGCTAAATCCAAATCAATTAACCCAATTTTAAAACCTAAAAGTCTCTCTATTTTCTCCCCTCTGCTTGTTTGTCTTTCAAATATAAATTTCTTCAGTTAGCACTTCTTTCTGAATCTACAAATTTGTTCAAATGTGAATCTCCTAACACAGAATACTCAAAGATAATATAACTCAATTCCATCAAGTTGAAATGGACACATAGCTGACCCTCTAGCTTTTTTTAGAAGCTAAAAATTGTCCAGAAGGAGATTGCCCATCTTTCACCAGAGGAGCAGCTGGTAGAAGCAAACTGCATGTGTTTGGATTTGGTTGCACACTTAACCCCCTAGACCACCAGAGATTCTTATGTATTATTGCGTTAGAATCAACTCATAGCTGACTTCCAGTGGGTTTTCAGAGGTAGTCTATTGCAAGAAGGTGGATTTGAACCATGTACATTTGGGTTGACAGTGCAGACACTCCTTACCACTAACCACCTAGAGCTGCAGACCACTAGAGACTGTGTGGGTCTTAATCTTTTCTCAATTATATTACTCCTTATATGGAGGAAAGCAGTAGATTTCTCATTGGGTGAAGATTTACATAGAACAAATAGGGAAAGTATCAGAAGTGAGACCAGAAAGAGACTAAATCTAAGTGGGTCTTCATTCTTATCTGCCACATTTGAGAGTGCCAGCACCCAAAGTTGCCAGAGCGTGTTTCTGGATGGAACTCCCTGGATCTCTGAATCCCCCATCCCACAATCGAGCAATACAAATTCTTAATAAGAAAGCAAATGTAACAGTGATTTTGGAAAGAAAACAGTTAATGATGAACTCTTACCTGTGCTCCATTCTGCTTTCTGAAGATGAAGGGTGATCTGAGCAGAGTGCTAAAACTGACAGCTACCAAGTGACAAGTCTATACTCCTCTGCCTTCTAGTCAGAGAGGTGTCTGGAGGGAGCTAGAGTGAGAGTTATGGACCACACAAATCTATCAAGATGTAAAACAGCCTTGTGATTTCCTGGAGTGAGGGAGGGCAGTGCCTAATTACAATCCAGATACATTTGAGTCATGACTCATCATGTGGTGTTTCTCAACATTTGGGTCTACTCTACTTCTCTATCTTATCCTCTACTGTCCTTGCCTCTTCAGTCCTCTTTCCTGTTAATGGCTGTTGATTTGGAGCCTTTTGCAGCAGATTCTGCCCCTGCTAACAATGTTAGGTGATAGGAATCTACACTAGAAGTCTTTTATGGCTAAAGTAAAAAGCATACTTTCCTTTGTTTATCCTCCAAGGTCCACTATGGATTTCTTTTTTTAAAATTAAATTTTATTAGTATTAATGAACATTTACAAAGATTTTGGGTTTTCATTCCTTCATTGCTGCACCATTCTCTCTACCCTCTTCCCCAGTTTGTTCTTCTTCCCCCGCCCTCCGGATGTCTGTTTTAATTGTCCAATTGCCACTATGGATTTCTATCCCTCCTTTTTTATTTTTTTAAAATCAAAGCAATTATGTAAGCATTCTTACAATTTCAAACGCCATAAAAGTATCAAATAAAAGAGGAAAGTCTTGAATCCTATTTTCCAAAAGAATCAAGTTGGTATCATCTTTTTACAAAACATTTTTAAGTTGGTATAATCTTGATTCTTAATTATTTTATTAGCTGGGATAATGCTTTTCATGGTAGACTTTTATTTATTAACAATATTAAATAATACCCTTAATAACACCCTTGCAAGAAGAAAAGAAATAGCACAGAAGCAACTAGACTCAACTTCTTAAGAACAAGAGGAATGTTTGATTGTTGTTGTGTATTGTCGAGTTGGAACTGACCCATAGCTGACCCTCTGGCAGGTTTTCAGAGAGAGTTAATCTCATGGGAGGAGACTGCCCATCCTTCTCCCACAGAATGTCTAATGGCCTCAAACCACCTGCCTTTGAGATTGCAGCTCAGCTTCTTGCCACTAGGCCACCAGAGTTTCCTTTGATGGTTGTTGTTGTTGTTAGGTGCTGTCTAGTTGAGCACGACTCATAGCAACCCAATGGACAAAAGACTGAACCCTGTACTAGCCAGCAACATCCTCACACTTCCCAACACACAACAGCCCATCACAGCAGTCACCATATTAATCCACCGGTTGAGGGTCTTCCTTTCCCTCACCAACCCTCCACTCTTCCCAACATAATGTCCTTTTCCAAGGAATAGCACCTCCTAGCAACATGTCCAAACTATGTGAGGTGAAGCAAGAGCATGAGTTTGCGCATAACTGGGGCCCCAGCCCGCTGCAGGCAGCCCTTTTAACCGCGAGCGACACGGTGGCAGACCAGGCCTGTGCCGGCGTTTGCCTCTTGGGTCTCAATTCTTAGGATGATCCCTTTGGGAACGGCTAGTAGGCTCCTCGACTAATGAATTGTGTTTCCTGTGTGTGCTGTCATCTAATAAACTTTAGGTGTTATTTAGACAAACAAACAAACAAACAAAAAAAACCCCACAAAGTATAGAGATCTATCATATTCGTGAATTAGATAGGTGATTTGTTGCTTATTCCTCCATCTCAATCACAATTTATCTGTGTAGTCAAAATAATACCAAGAACCATGTAACTGCATTTAAAATTGAAATTGACAAACTGGTTTTAAAATTATATATTGTCATTGAGTCAACAGTGACTCATAAGTGACACTAGC